GAGCTTAAAAAAACAAATAATTTAGTATATTGAAGTGTTAATTTGCGCCTAATGATTACGGAGAAAATTCCAAAAATCTGTAAATTTAAAATTCCCATGTTATTCTTATGGAGCATAAGTAAACTGTTGTAGCTTGCTTGTTCATGAACATATTTTGATCAAATTTGGAAAATGCATTAATTTCATACTAAACTATTACATTTTACAAAAAAAAAAACACATTTTTACCCTCCCTGTTGCAGCAAACCTAAGTACTCGTTAAACTAATTAAACTCGTTATTTAAATAGGGAATAAATGTGATATTTTTAAGGAGACATTTTAGTGTAAATCCAATCAGGAAAATGGAAATTCGCGTAGTCTGCAGGTTTGCTGCGGCGGGGGTATTTGCATATATGACAACTGACAACAGCTAATTTGAACTAAGCAGCAACAAAAAGCTGTGATACACAATGAGAACTGTCAAAGTAGGATTGTTTACAGTTAGTTTTGAGTTTTTAATTTAACGAATAATTTGTGATAGTGTGTGAATGTTTGATAATTTATTTTTTCTATTGTTTAGGTGCAGTGTTAGAACATTATAGCAGTGGTAGATGTGTTATACTATATAATATGGTAAATTTATGAACCAAATTTTATCAAACTGTGTCCTCCCCCATTGCAAACGCAAAGCTTGAGTATAACTGCAATAAGCATTTTATACTTATTTGCCAACCCCGTACGAAGGACGGGTGCTCTGCTAGTTATTCATCTTAAAGAACAAATTACCATTTAAAATAACAGTTGTTAAGCGCAGCAAGGCATCCCTGGTAACTGCTAGTATACTAATAGGCAAGCATGTTTCTTTAAAACCTTTTCTCTCAGCTTGTGTACATCACAGGGAAAATATACGCATATGGTTAGAAAGATTTTTTCTTGTCGATCCACAGAATCCCTTTATAAATTAAAATACCGTAGGCTAAAAAAAATAAGCATAGGTAAAAAATTTATTTAAAATTTTAAAAAATTAACATGGGCCTTATGGGCCAAATAACTTGGCAAAATCAAGCATGATGGTTTCTTGGCCGACCTTAGTATTACCGCAATGAAGGATTAAGATTAAGGAGGGGTGATTGAATTTGTAATCTTGTTCTTCATTGCCTTCTTGGTCTTAAGTTTATAACAGCTGTCATGTATGATATTGTATGTCATGTGTTTGCTATGTTTATTATTTGTCGTTAATAAACTTACTTTTACAGTGGACTTTAGAAACCAAATCTATTTTCATTTTATTCCTAACTAGCTGTGTGCCCGTTCTACGCACGGGGATCTTATCATAGTCAGTTAAAACCTTCTTATATAAAGCACAGCAGTTGGTTTGCATACTTTCAGATATGCTGACAAAACTATTCCTTCGCAAATACAGTATCTGACAGTTTCAAGCCAAAACTAATGCTTCGCAATTAAATGTCACCCGGATCTTGTTGGTCCACATGTTATATCCAATGATTAAACTAAATAAACGGTATCAGCATTCTGACACATACTTTCTCCCATAAGTTTGTCAACAACCTTTATCATGTGTAAGCGGTGAGAGTAAATATACGGAAATGGGATTTGTACAATTTTGTTCAGAATTTAAAGGACTAAAACATAATGGTTAAAAGTATTTAAGGTACTACCTCAACCTCTTAATTTAACACTATTCGGGTTGACATTTTCATTATCAAGGCGCTCTTGTCCTTTCCGTGAAACATTGAGAAACAAGGACATTAATGTGTTACCATCATACATACACACAAAAATACCGAACTTAATTAGGGAATCTGCTACGCTTTAAGCATAAAAAGGTACATATCAAATTAGTACTTGAAATCTTTGTTAATGCCATAAAATTTGATCATAACAATTTATATTTGCTTGGACCGGAGATGACTCGAAATTCTGTCGAAATGCTATCTGAATCGGTTTGCTATATGAAATGAAGTACAGTAGGCCTACTATAGACGATTTAGATTGGTTATTTGTAATAAAAATTACCAAAAAAGGCCACGAACTATTGATACATAAACAACGTTCAAAGTGTTTGGACAATTCATGATGGTTTGCTGAATAAATGTTTTACTAAAATGCGTTATAGTTTTCTTAGCATAACATTTTGGAATCCAGACAGAAAAAGCAAAAATTATACAGTTAAGACATCAATTAAATTGAATAGGCCTACGCCTGTAATAAATAAGGTGCAACACCAACGATAACTAATTTGTAAATTACTGTGATGTGTTGGTACGTAAACATGATTCTTGCTGCTACTAAAGGTTAAAAGGAAAAGAACCAGTACCGTACCAAAAACCAACGTTTACAGTTAAGAACTGTAGTACAGCCGACCAATTATATGCGTTAATCAAGGTTATTGATCTCTTGGTTTTGGATTTTCTCGTAAAAAGTTATCGGCAATCAAAGTTATTTCCCATTAATTGCTTTATTTGTACACAACTCTTAATGTAAACTTATCGGTGTCAGTTTGAAAAAAAAAACCTTATACAACATAACTTTCTGTTATTTAATAGATTACGTATTCTCTAAACAATGGTTGCTGGTATATATATTAACATTATAAGGAAATGTGACAAAAATCACACAACGTTGGGTTTTTGGACGTTTATAATTTTATTTCTTAAGTACCTAGGTAGGCCGTGTATTCTATGGAAAAGTACCGGTATCAAGGATCGTTGTCGAAAGTGTTGTTATAAATAATTGGGTAAGCATACGTACCACACGTACCCAAGAGAAGGGCTATGGGCCTATTGGCTGTATGGTCCAGCGATTGCATCACACGGTGAGTAGGAACTATTGACTTGATATAGTCAATGGTAGGAACAGAAAGTGACACATTGGAAAATCGAGTTCAGCATCATCCGTAAACCTCTGTTACAATCACCCACTGCAGTTGTAATTTTTTGCTTTACACTTTACACAACCACCATTGAAGAGCCGTCAATGAGTGGAACATTGTTTCTAAGCTATTGGCGACGGTCATTAGTAAATTTAAGTTTCCCAACCGTATAAAACACTGATTCAATCTTGATTCAATGTCTTCTTTCTGGTTATCAAAACTCCAAAACAATTTTATACACATATTTCTGGTTCCTGACCTGGATGATGCCTAGTTATTTAATTTACGGTTACACTATATTATTCCACTTGCGATTAATTAAATCCTTTATGTAATAAAAACGTTTATAATCTCACTTGGATGGGATTTGCCTTCAAAACGTGATCGGAAATGGTTGTGGTGTTTGTAAACAACATTATTTGTAAACATTTCAGTGACAGCTAGAAAAAATAATCTTGATCCGAACAGCTGTTCGTTGTTTCATAGATGATTATGTGATACAAATTGGAAGAAAACTTGACAAAAATCGCACAAAACCAGTACCGCATTTCCCATTAGGCCCACTAGGCCCAGGCCTAGGGCGCCAAATTTTAGGGGGCGCAAAATATTCAACTTCTTAAATGAATCCCACGAACGCACCCACGCGTCAGACCGGTAGCCCTGCTACCAGCCCACTGACTGACGCGTGGGCCCATCCGAGACCGAGTGTAGTTTGAATTTGCCGTGTTTAGTAAGCAAATAGATGAAGAAGAAATAAGGGTTGCCTTGTTTGGTACTGCCGTGTTGGGAATAACCTGCTTTTACTCGTGTGATATTTCGTTTTGCTTTTGTCCCAACGACATCCCTGCAGTGACTGCCAAAATTCAGCTATGTTATTCTCTCCTGTTTACTTAACCTGTTGTGTTGTTCTGTTTATGTTTAGCTAGTAAAAAATGTCGAATTATGCCGGTTTTTCACTTAGAGATAATGAAATACCCTAGGTGTAATGTTTTCATCAATTATATTTGCACACCGGTATTATGTATCGTGATGGAATTATTTCTGATTTTGAATGTTGTTCATCAAAAACGTATTTTGTGTTGTTTATGTTAAATAAAAAAGACTAAAAACTCATACTTTTTAAGTTATTTCACACCATCCAAATAAAACTTTGACCATAACAGTTATTATTTACTTAAAACTGGTGGATACCGGTACATATAGGCCTATATTTTTTACAATACAATATGGTACGGTATTGTAAATGTTCCACTCCTACATTTTACAAGATTGGGATCTTCTGAGGGAAGGTATTTATCATTGTTCAGTTAATCTCATTAGAGGTATAGTATTATAGGGGCATATATACATTTTAAAGGAGTTGATTTATTGAAAGTATCAATGGATTATCCTTGTATATGCTACTCAATGACAATGATCGTGACATTATTTACGTTTCCTGACCAATATTACGGCCTGGAGGGCGCAACTGTTTTGGGGGCCTAGGGGCGCCGTTTGGCTAAATGCGGCCCTGCACAAAACTGCATTTTTGAACGGCCGTAGTTTTAATTACAAAGTAGTGAGACCATATTTTAATGGCTAAAGACACTCTCGCCAATCCAGTGAATACATTAAAATGACTTGGGTCTTGATAGGTACTCTCGTTTTCCTGGAGAAGATTGCGTAAAATGCCATCTTGAGTGTGTCAGACAGACAGACAGACAGACAGAAATTTAGATGAGACTTGTTTCGGCTTCTTTAATGTATAAAACGTAAAAATAACCTAAAAATGTATGATTCTGAGCAATGTACAGACAAAACTCTAATTTTATTTATATAGATTAGTATAAAGGAAAATCAATTATAAACAAGTTTTGCCACAGCCACACTAATTTTTATTTGCCCCACTCCAGTTACAATCAAAAACACGAAACATGGTGCTTTTATTAGGTAGGTAGGTCTTCATAATACGTGTCCACACCTCTCATGTGCAGCAAAGAGCCACTTCGCACACTAGTTACACAAATAACTATTGTGATTGTTTTGAGTTAGCAAGGCTAGGCTCCAAGGACTCTCATTGTAAACACAACAAGCGTGGTTGGTTTCAGCAATAACCATACGATTACTTATGTGTAGAGCGAGACCCACCTTGGGGTGTCATCAGAGAAGGGGTGAGACACAACACTCAGGTCTCCACTGGCATCACTCAGGTTGTCCAGGGAGTGGTCTCCGGGAGGTAGTAGAGTTAGGAGCTCCTCCAGGGGTCGACCTCGTCCCAACTCATCTCCTCTGTCTGCATCATCAACTTCCAGGTCACTCCGGAAGGAACTACCCAAGTGGGAGATTAACAAACTGCGTTGTGACATGGTGGAGATAGTATTTTCTGGAAAGTATTTACAAAGGCTTTATTGAAAATCATTTACTTTTGGATACTGATGCAAACATCCCTTATCTATGTACACCAGCAGCTGTAGCCAATTCTCCTTCAAATATTGTGTTGAAGAATGGAGCCACCTACTTTTGCCAATGTGAAAATTATAATTATGTTCATCCCCTTTAGTTTTTAGAACTATAGGATAGAAGGGGGAATTGGGTATTAGGGTTAATTGGGTTCTAAGTTTTTAACATTGTACAGTATCATAAAATCAACCCTTTATATTAGAAAGATTTTTAAAATCTTTAGTGATGGTTAGTAGTTTTTGTTTGTTTGTTACCTTTCAATTCTTACATTTTTTATTGTAAGTGCCTAAAAAACTTTGCTCGAGTAACCTTGGAAATATTAAAATTATAATTCATTTAAAATATTTACACTTAACTCATAAAACCAAAGTATACTTACTAATAGTGATTTTGCTATAGTTTTGGAGTTTTTAATTTATTTTCAAAGGGTTGTTTTAGGGGTTGAAAATTTTAGTGGCCTACCCTATACGGAGAAATTGGTAAGACTTATATAATATCTTATAGAGAATTTCCCATATAGGGAATATTAGCGAATTTCCCATATAGGGAATAAGCTATTACCCTAGTACTCATGGTAAGACCTGGACGCGGGACCGATTTTTTTTTCGTTTTGAGGTCCCTAGAGGCCAAAAACACCATCCGTTCAAATTCATATATATATATATTTATATATTTATATGTTTATATATATAAAATTCTCGTGTCACAGTGTTTGTCTGCAAACTCCTCCGGAACGACTTCACCGATCGTTATGAAATTTGGTGTGTAAATTCTGTAGGTATGCGAATCGGACTAAACTGTTTCCCGTTTCGAAATTCTTAAAAGGGCTCCGCCCCAGTGGCTCTGGAGTTTCCCATGTTAACCTTATGAGAAATGGAATTAATGAATCTTAACAGCTGTTTCAATTAAACAAGTTGGTTCTGTTTTATGATGTTCAATAGCATTAAAGTTACAAGGATTACCAACAGGGTGCAGCACTATTATTTCTTTTACATTTATGACAACAGCTAATTTGCAACCAAAAGGTGAGTGAGCGTAGCGAACGAACTTCAACCTGAAGGCGAGTGAGCGTAGCGAACGAGCTAACCTGAAGGCAAGTGAGCGCAGCGAACGAGCTCCAACCTAAAGGTGAGTGAGCGTAGCAAACGAGCTCCAACCCAAAGGTGAGTGAGCATAGCGAACGAACTTCAACCAGGACGTGATTGAGCGATGCGAACGAGATCATCTTGAAAATTAAACGTAACGGTACTTTCTTTCCATCGGTCTGTCTTAGGGGAAACCTATAACTTAGGCGATACGAAGTTCGCCGGGTCAGCTAGTGTTTATATATTTATATACTAGCTGACCCGGCGAACTTCGTATCGCCTAAGTTATAGGTTTCCCCTAAGACAGACCGATGGAAAGAAAGTACCGTTACGTTTAATTTTCAAGATGATCTCGTTCGCATCGCTCAATCACGTCCTGGTTGAAGTTCGTTCGCTACGCTCACTCACCTTTGGGTTGGAGCTCGTTCGCTACGCTCACTCACCTTTAGGTTGGAGCTCGTTCGCTACGCTAACTCGCCTCCAGGTTGAAGTTCGTGCGCTACGCTCACTCACCTTTGGGTTGGAGCTCGTTCGCTACGCTCACTCACCTTTAGGTTGGAGCTCGTTCGCTGCGCTCACTTGCCTTCAGGTTAGCTCGTTCGCTACGCTCACTCGCCTCCAGGTTGAAGTTCGTTCGCTACGCTCACTCACCTTTTGGTTGCAAATTAGCTGTTGTCATAAATGTAAAAGAAATAATAGTGCTGCACCCTGTTGGTAATCCTTGTAACTTTAATGCTATTGAACATCATAGAACAGAACCAACTTGTTTAATTGAAACAGCTGTTAAGATTCATTAATTCCATTTCTCATAAGGTTAACATGGGAAACTCCAGAGCCACTGGGGCGGAGCCCTTTTAAGAATTTTGAAACGGGAAATAGTTTACGTCCGATTCGCATACCTACAGAATTTACACACCAAATTTCATAACGATCGGTGAAGTCGTTCCGGAGGAGTTTGCAGACAAACACTGTGACACGAAAATTTTATATATTAGATATATATATATATATGTGTCCGTTAGCACGATAACTCGAGCAAAAATGATCCGATTTTTATGAAATTTGGTACATACGTGTAAACCTACGTTTATTTGAACGAGTTCGCGATCCAGCTTGATCGGACCATGGGAACGTGGTTTTATGGGGTAAAAATAGGTTTTTCCCATTTTTGACCCAAAAAACATAAAATTTAGCAATTTCTTTCCAAACCATTTTGTAGAGCTTAAAAAAGCAAATAATTTAGTATATTGAAGTGTTATTATGCGCCTAATGGTTACGGAGTAAATTCCAAAAAAATTTAAATTTAAAATTCCCATTTTATTCTTATGGAGAATAAGTAAACTGTTGTAGTTTGATTGTTTATGAACATATTTTGATCAAATTTGGAAAATGTTTTTATTTCTTACTAAATATTAACATTTACAAAAAAAAAACAGTTTTACCCTCCCTGATGCAGCAAACCTAAGTACTTGTTAAACTAATTCTATTTAAATAGGGAATAAATGTTATACGGTACCTATTTTTAAGTAGACATTTCAGTGTAAATCCAATCAGTCAAATGGAAATTCGCTTAGTCTGCAGGTTTGCTGCGGCGGGGGTATTTTATATTTATAACAACAAATCTGTTAATTTGTGTTTTAATAATTACTGTATAAGTGTTATGTTTTTAACAAATATTTTAGTTTGGTATGGCAACTGTGTAGCCTTATTTTACATTTGAGAAATTATAGGGTAGCTTAGTACCCAATTACTTCCATATGGAAAATTTGGTAATATTTAATGGGGCCATTTTAAAAGTTTCCACCTCTTGTAAAACTTTTTGTGTAAAGCTTAGAAAAATCCTACTTATTACATGTTTAAGTACCTCTAATTAACTACACTAAACACAATTTTAACAACCCTAGGTCATAAGGACTATTAGGCGTCTTTGAAAATCCGTAAAATTTCCAAAAATTAACTTTAACACTCGATAAAACTGTAAAAAGTCATGAAATGTCGGTGAAACTTTTCTTAATATATGTTCCTTGTAGAATTTTTAATAACACCCATTTACCCACTATTTAGATCTAGTATTTCTAATGTGCGATATATAGTACCCATAATTACCCCCAAGGAGGCAATTATGCGTATGAAAAGTGGCGAGAAGATGTATATTGGAAGCCTTTAAATAAAGTGATAATGATAAGAAAGTCTTTCTATTTTGTTTAGCCTCACAGTACATTTTAAAAAACCTAGTACACCCAATTCCCCCCTTGTAGGTGCCCTATTAATTGATGTTTTGTCAAAAAAAATGTAGAGCTGCCACCTTAACTTGCCTTAACCTTAACTTGCCACCTTAATGGAACTCTTTTAAATTTGTGTCAGAATCAAATGCCACATTTGACAATTTAGTAGTTTTATTGTAAGAGCTCAATATTGTCATTAGACTAGAAATTCCTGGGTTTCTTACAATGTCAATTTCCTTACCTGTAACTTCGTATCTAATTTCATCAAATAAGAATGCAAATGCATTATTTATAAAATGACTTTTATGATTCTCAATTTCTCCCTTAATATACAGATAACTCCTACACGGGAGGGTTAGCAAATCTTGATTATTAATACATATTCAAATTTCATCAGAATTATTTATTGCCAAAGTGTTGTGTGGAACATAGGAGAGTGGTTTGTAATTTTAACCACACTATCGTCGAATTGGGATTTCGCTGTAACATCTAGAAAATCTTCCATTTTTATAAATAGAAAATTTTAACTTTAGTCCAATTGATTTTAGGAACCTAGCATTTTGCACACTTAATAAATAGCTGCCCATTCTTATAAATTCTCATATCTTTTTTATATGACAAGTAATTGTAGTTTCTTCTCCATTAAAGTCAATTGCCTTGTCGTGCTGATGGGCAAATGTAATGCTGACCACATCTAAACTTCTCTTATTTACAGGAAAATATACAGAGTGGCTGAAAAGTTACTTGCACCCCCCTTTAACTTTTCAACCATTTGAGATATTTGAAATCGGTTTGCGGCAACCTTTTTAGATATCAGGGGCTACAATAATTATGGTAAATTTTGAAAACTTTGCCCTTACGGGTAGCGGGGGTAGGGGGTAGCTCAAAATTTTCAAATGACAAGTATAGTCGAGTTTGGTATCATTTTACAGGTCTTGACAAAACAAAACAATTGACATAAAGAAAACGAAAATCGGCCCACTAATAACAAAATGGCGCCCCAAAACGTATCAAATCCAAATAAACATGAGGGTGGCTGAAAATTAACTTGCACCCCCCATTATCTGTTTAACTATTTGAGATATTTGAAATCGGTTTGCAGCAACCTGTTAAGATATGAATGGCTACAATAATGATGGTTAATTTCAAAAATTTTGCCCTTAGGGGTAGTGGGGTTGGGGGTGGCTTAAAATTTTCAAATAGGAAGTATGATCGAGTTTGGTATCATTTTACAGGTCTTGACATAAATATACAATTAGCATAAAGAAAATGGAAGTCGGACCACTAAAAACAAAGTGGCAGGTAAAAATTACTTTTAATAACCATATTGTCTTAATCATTTTTAGCTGCCATTTTGTTATTAATGGTCCGATTTCTATTTTCTTTATGTCCATTGTTTAGTTATCTCAAGATCTGTAAAATGATACCAAACTCGACCATACTTCCTCTTTGAAAATTTTAAGCTACCCCCAACCCCCAATACTCCTAAGGGCACAATTTTTAAAATTTACCATCATTATGTAGCCCTTTATATCGAAACAGGTTGCCGCAAACCGATTTAAAATATCTCAAATAGTTAAAAAGGTAAGGGGGGTGCAAGTTAATTTTCAGCCACCCTCATGATTATTTGGATTTGATACGTTTTAGGGCGCCATTTTGTTATTAGTGGGCCGTTTTCTTTATGTCAATTGTTTTGTTTCGTCAAGACCTGTAAAATGATACCAAACTCAACTATATGTACTAGCCATTTGAAAATTTTGAGCTACCCCCTACCCCCGCTAACCCTAAGGGCAAAATTTTCAAAATTTACCATAATTATTGTAGCCCCTCATATCTAAGAAGGTTGCCGCAAAAAGATTTCAAATATCTCAAATGGTTGAAAAGTTAAGGGGGGGTGCAAGTTACTTTTCAGCCACCCTGTATAACATTTCTTGGAACTTAAAACTGTGTATGGTGTGTGATTTGTTGCCATTTAAATAGGACCCATTTTCAATATTACATTTTACTCTAATCACATTTACATTATTAATGTTTATTTTATTATTTGTAGATTCAAACGGAACACCAGGAGTAGAAACTCCTTTGAATCCCAATAAAACAGACCCTGAACACGGTTTTGTAAAATCAAACACATGGCTAGAATGTAATGTCGCTTTCATAGTTTTATTATATTAGCTGTAAGTAAAAATTCTGGGATTTGCTTTTGAATTTCCTTTTCAAGCTCAATCACCTCATATGTACCTTCAGAAATATCTATTGTAATTGGAGCTTTGTGGTTATAATAGAAAACATCCTCACCTTCTCCAATGGTTAATTTATTGTCTTTAAGTTGATTTAATTTTGGTATAAGCCCTTTGAATATAAGCTTGACTTTAGTCTTAATTATTGCTTCACCATTTTTATTTATTATAACTATAATTTTGCCATCTAATAACTGGTTTAAATCATCAACTAAGATCTCTCCTTTTGGTAATGTTATTTTCTCTACTTTGTAATATGTTAAAGTATTTAGAGGTTTTTTAACATTAAATATAGAATTATAACTTTGAAAATCTACCAATCCAATTACATAATCATCATTTAATTCTATGGGAGGAAAGAACACTGACTTTAGCTCTGGCTCTGTAACCGAAAATGTTATAGTAAATGAATCCATTTTTATAAAGAATATATAAATGATAAACATAAAATTCCACAAATAGAACTATTTAAATCTTGTATTTGATCGGTTGTATAGTAGATTTTATATCCCTCAAAATATTTAATTACTTCTTTTGGAGGTTGGATTCCAAATGGGTCAAAATAAATTACAATATCTTTATTTTTACGATATGCTGTCCAGTGTGTGCCAGACGAACTGTCTAAATTAACTATTCCACACTCTTTTACTTTTGGTGTCAGATATTCTTATGGGGAAAACGTGCCTAAAGTGGCTTTGAACCGGTATATTGCCACTACTTATTTTGTTCAAACTTGGCGGATTTATTTATTTCATACTAAGCTATTGATATTTTAATAAAAACATACATTATTAGTTTCCCTGTAGCAGCTAACCTAGGTACTCGTTAATCATAAATGTTAATTTAATAGCTTCATTAAAAATCATCCAGGCAAATGGAAATTCGCTTAGTCGGCAGGTTTGCTGCAGCAGGGGTATTTTGTTTATATTCTTAAAAAGAGGTGCGGTAAATGAACACTGATGCTATTTCTAGCTGTTTGATACAAGTGAGTGCTTTAATGTGTTTGAAACACGATGAATATGAGATTAACAAAACATGTCTGTTGGTCGTCCAAGAGGTTGTCGCCGATCTTTAACAGGTTGTCGTGAAAGACGGTTTCAGGTACAACCGTACCCACGTCGGCCACCTCAGGACGTAAGGTATGAAGGTTCCACTGCTTTTAACATTCCTTCTGATGACGATTTCTCGAACTTGGGCTCTTTAAATTAAATATAAAGTCAAAGTTAATTAAATTAATTAAATGATGGCTTCTGTGAATTCGCGGGTAGAACCTCTTGTTATTTATTAAAGTACCAGGGGACCGAGCTTTGCTCGGGGAAAATCGTTAGTTTACTCTGAAAGCAGTCTTAGTATTGCAGATACATAAATCCATTCCCAAACTCCACACTGCTTGCCTTTACTACTTCCTTCACCACTTCCTACTTCGCGGATCTGATTCCTTACGTTCCCATCACATTTTAGGATTCCAGATACCTTAATCTAATCGTCATAAACAGTTCCCACACTCCGGACAGCTCGCCTTGACTACTTCCTTCAACAATTCCTATGTCTCAGACCTGTTTCCCTCCCTTCCCATAGCATTTTAGGAATGCTAATACCTGAATTTAATTTTTCTAATCGTCATAAACAGTTCCCACACTCCGGACAGCTCGCCTTGACTACTTCCATCACCACTTCCTACGTCGCGGACCTGTTTCCCTCCCTTCCTATAGCATTTTAGGATTGGAAATACCTTAATATAATCGTCATAAACAGTTCCCACACTCCGGACTACTCGCCTTGACTACTTCCTGCACCACTTCCTACGTCGCGGACCTGTTTTCCTCCCTTCCCATAGCATTTTAGGGTTGCAGATACCCTAATCTTATTGTCATAAACAGTTCCCACACTCCGGACTGCTCGCCTTTACTATTTCCTTCCTTGCTAAGTCACGGACAAGTTTCCCTCCCTTCCCATAGCATTTTATGATTGCAAATACCTTAATCTTATCGTCATAAACAGATCCCACACTCCAGGCAACTCTCCTTTACTACTTCCTTCACCACTTCCTACGTCGCGGATCTGTTTCCTTCCCTTCCCATAGCATTTTAGGATTACCAATACCCTTATCTAATCGTCATAAACAGTTCCCACACTCCGGACAACTCGCCTTGACTACTTCCTTCACCACTTCCTACGTCGCGGACCTGTTTTCCTCCCTTCCCATAGTATTTTAGGATTGCAGATGCCTTAATCTAATCGTCATAAACAGTTCCCACACTCCGGACAGCTCGCCTTGACTACTTCCTTCACCACTTCCTAAGTCACGGACCTGTTTCCCTCCCTTCCCATAGCATTTTGGGATTGGAAATACCTTAATTTAATCGTCATAAGCAGTTTCCACACTCTGGACTGCTCGCCCTTACTACTTCCTTCATCACTTCATACGTCGCGGACCTGTTTCCCTCCCTTCCCATAGCATTTTAGGATTGCCAATACCCTTTTCTAATCGTCATAAACAGTTCCCACACTCCGGACTACTCGCCTTGACTAGTTCCTTCACCACTTCCTATGTCGCGGATCTGTTTCCTTCCCTTCCCATAGCATTTTAGGATTGCAGACCTTAATCTAATCGTCATAAACAGATCCCACACTTCCCTATACTTCGCACTGCTAGCCTTTACTAGGCCTACAATGTATCGAGTAATCTTCAGTATAATCTTTACTCAATAGTAACAAGTAATGTTTTCCCTTTTGTACTGTATTTGTAATTTGCTAGTATACTGTGGGTAGTTGGCTTATTATGAACACATGCTACAACTTCAAGTCTTTGTTTACTTTTTCCTTGTTATTTAATTCAACCAACATGGTTACTTAGCAACCCATAAGACTAATGTTAAAAAAATGTGACTTTCAGTTTCATTTTTCTACGTTATTAGATTTTTGTTGGCAGTTCTAACTGTAGTAAACTCGTTTTTAGGCCAAAAATAATATATTTAAAACATTTGAAGAAAATCGTCGGAGCCGTTTTCGAGATCTTGGTACAAGCAAGCAAGCAAGCATACATACATACATACAAGCAAACATTGCTCGTATTAGAGTATAGGATTAAAACATAAACATAAAACACAATCTTACTTTGACAGTTCTAATTTTGTATCACAGATGCTTGGTTGAAATTAGCAACTGTTGTCATAAATTTAGACAATTAATAGTGCTGCACCCTGTTGGTACATCTTGTAACCTTGTAATGCTATTGATCATCACAGAATCTAATTCAATTGTTTAGTTGAAACAGCTGTTAAGATTCTTTAATCTTATATATTAAAAAAACTTGGCTTATCTTTTCTGGCTCTTCTACCCAACCGATTTTCATGATTGAGGTCTCAAATTGAAGGTATGCACAAACAGATTTTCCATCAAGCATCGGCATATAATTATCTATATCATAATTTGGTTTATACGTAAACAAAATTTGCTCCCCATTTATTTTTTATGGGAGTTAAATTTGGTTTTTCTTTGACGAATTCGTTTGGATCTTCTACCTGACCGATTTGCATGTTTTTCGGTCTCCGTCTCCAATTATGCACGTACGGTTGTGTTATGTATGCACGTACAGATTTGCCATCAAGCATGGGCATATATTGGTCCATAATCCCACTCGGTGTTTACGTAAACGAAATTTGCTCCCCTTGTATTTCTTATGGAAGTTAAATTTGGCTTTTCTTTGCCGAGTTTGTTTGGCTCTTCTACCCGACCAATTTTCATGATTGATGTCTCGAATTGAAGGTATGTACGCACAGATTTGCCATCAAGCATTGGCATAGATTTATCTATAATACCACTTGGTGTATACGTAAACAAAATTTGCTCCCCATGTATTTCTTATGGGAGTTAAATTTGGTTTTTTTTCGAGTTCGTTTGGCTCTTCTACCCGACCGATTTTTATGGTTGAGGTCTCAAATTGAAGGCATGCACGCCAAGTCGGCAAATATTTATGTACTGTAAAGCCCTTTTGTTTTGATGGATCTGCACCAAACTTCACACAATTAAACCATCCTTGAATAATGCTTAATAATGCCTGAAAGTTTAATTACAATTCGTCGAGCGGTTTCGGAGTCCATAAAGTTCAAATATAGCCTATATACAAACTTCCTCTTTTATAAATATATAGATCTATAACCGACAACCAACAACAACTGGCTTTCACTGCTATGAAAGCAATCCTAGTTGATCTTAGTGTTCTTAATTTGTTATATTATGTCAGTCTGGTTAGAGCAACGGATGGAAAATAGCCTATTTATACTTTTATATTCACTGTAATCAAGTCAATTTGTTTTGTATTATTTTACTACTGTAAATTTACCATGCAATAATTGTTACCTGTGTAGGCCTACTATGTATCCTATTTGAAAGAGAAAATAAACAAATATTCTATTTTCTTATTATAATATTTCTTAAACTGGTGATCCACTCTTAAACAATCATAACAATAACAGAGATTGTTTAAGCTACTGGTTAACAAAGTGTGATTTCCATTTAAGTTCAAAGAAAATGTAGCAAGTATTTCATTCTCATTCTAGTTAACACCCTAAAATTTCGTTCCAGATTCCTCCCTCAATCACAGCAACCAGCAACGTCGAACAAGTCCCTTACAATCACTGCTATGTCGTAATCATGATTCCTAGATCACGGCAATCCCTTGTAATTTACAAGGGATTGCCGTGATCTAGGAATCGTAATCACACAGAAACATCATGGCTATCTTCTGTGGACACAATTTACGTGACATCTTGATAAGCAGCTACTCTTGCTTGGTGCATTCCGTTTGTCATTTTTTAAGCGAAATTGTCCGCTCCTACTCAAAAATTACAAACAATCCAGATACTTTTTTCCTGGTAATTAAAATTCAAGTTTAAATCTAGAGGGTCGTATGACCCTGGTGTAATCTGCATTGATGTATTAAAAATAACTTATTCAGCATAGTAGTGTTATTAATTTTGCAAACCATCTTTTTTTTATTTACCAGTATACGTGTAAATATGTGTTTGAAGTGTTATCAGACTATTCCAGATACTTTCCGATGGACGTTTTGTTCCTCTGGGATTAATACTTAAATACTTTTTTATGAAATTGCGACCATACATAGTAGGTATTTTAAGCCATGGCATTCAGATAGATCACACGAACAACATTGCGTAGAAAGTGGCGCAATAGACTAAGAGAAATGATGAGGTTATTGTTTTGGATGCGTCCTGCTTTATTAATAATCTAACCATTTACGTGCATCACTTACTGTACCGTAGGCCAAAGTATTATGGTTCTAAACAGTATCCATTTCCTTTCGCACGCCAGCGCTCGAGCTCGACTGAGGCAAGGCTACCTGATGACTTGAGTTGAGCCATGAGCGTCAAGTGATCGATGAACGAGCCTTGGTACAGAATGGCACTGCCAGCTTTCTCTGGTGAATAGAATAGGTAAGAATACAGTACCAGTATTATTGAGCGAGTCAAGGACATGTTTGTATACAAATTTGGTACCCATATATACAGTTGATCATAGACTTAACTAACACAATTTCTCGTCCCATTTTAAAATCTGAAGCATGTTTTTATGTCTGGTTTATGAGTGACTCTGAACGCTAGTGACAATGAAATTTCGTTTATCTTATTTTAGGGTTTATTTATTTGTGTTATAGTTTTTGGCTATAAAATAAGAATACACGCTATTGTAATCAGTTCATTTGGTTTTACTAGTACCGCCGGTACCCTATTGAAATAACTGAAATTATATGAAACAATTTGTAAACAAAAGCACGCCCCTATATAGCGGCACCGGACAGAACTAACATTAATATTGTTTTGATCTTTTGCATAATGACATAGATAAAACCGTCGACTACACAGTATTCTGTGCATAGTCAATGATAAGGTGTCCTCCTGATTGCGAACAGTCCTGATTGCGAACAGTCCAGACTGCGAACATGTTTGGTTCTACGAGGTGGAGGGGGTCGTCCGTGGGGTGGGGAGGATTCCTGATTTCGAACACATTTTGAGTTGTCGGGGTTTTCAACCCTTTCATAGAAACCCTTAACAGAATGATTTAGCCAAAATCACAACTTAAGACTGGTAATATACATATTGGAGAGGATGAATGTCCTTGAGGACACATATCTTTATGAGACGTAGTATTGTACGTAAGGCCGCTTGTGACAGATTCTTTCAGACTCACAAATCCGTTCTGATAATATTTAAAGTGGTTGTTTATTTAATAGTATATTTCGTACCTAAGGCCGAAAATGAGGTTTTGCTGGCTCGAGATAGTTTTTAAGTTTGTCCCGTGGTACGAACGCTACTTTTCACCACACTGTACCCTATTACTATACACTATTCACCACAATAATAATGCACACTGATTGTCAACACAAGTACAACTTTAAGGTTATGTGAAGAAATAATTTGAGGATCAGCAAAATAATAATAAACGAGAGGTCGTCCAGTGGTCGAAACTCGACCAAAAATATGTAATGTACTCACTTATCTATTTTCACCCCACACTGTAAATAAAACATGTGATTGGAGTTTCCTCCATTTGTTTTGATTTTCTGTTTATATTTCGTTGTTATTTCGTAACCAGCATAGCAACGCATAAGATCCATTTTAATTTTTTCAAATTTTTAAACTCATTTTTTGTGCTTATCTTTGAGCCTATTTAAATTTATAAAGGGATTCTGCACACCTACAGGAAAATAGCTTTCCAACGGTATGCGTAGATTTTCCCTACGATTCACACGAGCTGAGAAAAAAGGTTTTAAAGAAACATGCTTGCCTATTAATATATAGATAGATAGTTGCTAGGCAGCGGTGACAATAAAACAATTCTATTGAAATGCTATGGATACTGATTGTGTATTTAATATGCATTCATGTGTTAAGTAAGAAAGTAGGCGGGCAGCTGATTTTGCGGCCCTAGGGATTTAAAAACCTGCTCGGTCCCCAAATGACGATGACAGCTGGCATGGCCAGCAAAACGTAACTTCCAGCCACCAATTGACGTATGTAAAACAGCTAAAAACATCATAGTGTGGTGAAAAATGAATTACAATATGTTTGACCATAGACTAACCAACACAAGTAGACTTCTCATCCCATTGTAAATTTTGAAGCACGTTTTTCGTGTCTAGTTCATGTACGTGACACAAAGGCACTAGTGTCGATGAAACTTTGTTTCCATTATTTTAGGGTTAATTTCTTGATTTGTGCTTTACTGTTTACTGTTTGGTTATATAACTAGGGGACAAGTTATTGTTTATGATTAGATCGTATTATTTGGTTAAACGAGGTTTTAAATGGCTGTAATAACGGGAAACAAATTGTAAACAAAACACGACCTCTACATAAACCGTACATGAACTAAAAATAAAATTGTCTTCAGCTGTTCGCTAAGGATGAGAAATCTACTAAGGGAGTATGTTTTATCTATGGTTTGACTTAAACAAGCAACTACAATAACTAAACAATCTCAGAATAAAAGAAATAAAACAACCATTTCATATGAATACTATAGTCATCTTTACAGATTCAAAAATATTTGTTCGCAGTCTGGACGCCTCATGTTCAGGTAGTCTACTGCATTTTTGATGTGTTCGCAGTCTGGACGATTTTACCCTTGTTCGCAATCTGGACTGTTCGCAATCAGGACACAACCAATGATAAAACTTGCTCTAATGATGGCAAATATGACAAATGATTACTCCATAATTTTATTGAGCGGAGCGAGCGAAGCGAGCGAAGCTCTTTGGGATCAACTTCAATGCAAGCAATATAACACCATCACTCAATAACGGCTGAACACATTTCAGCCAATCTTAACAAGACTACTTAGACTAATAATGAGATGGTTTGTAAACAAACAAATTTCAATTAGATTATGCTAATGCAATTTAAAACGAACTTAAAATTTCAAATTTTTAACATTAGGCTTATGGGACTAAAGTAGCTATGACAGTTTTTTTGTTTACAAGAAAATTGTAAATAAACGGTATCAGCATTCTGACACATACTTTCTCCCATAAGTTTGTCAACAACCTTTATCATGTGTAAGCGGTGAGAGTAAATATACGGAAATGGGATTTGTAAGATTTTCTTCAGAATTTAAAGGACTATAACATACTAAATTTTTATCAAAATCGTTCGAGCCAATTTTGGGAAAATGTGATTTTCCGTTATTTTGTGGGGTTTTTATGGGAAAATAACATAATTTATAATAACTTTTGAACCGTAATTTTTACAGAGATGGGATTTTTACCATTTTGTTCAGAATATAAAGGACTATAACATACTAAATTTTTATCAAAATCGTTCGGGCCATTTTTGGGAAAATCTTATTTTTCCGTTATTTTATGGGGTTTTATGGGAAAATACCCATTAAAAATAAAAATTTCTAAAAAATGAAAAAAACTATCATAATTAATTGTAAGGACCATAACATACTATGTCAAATAAAAACCGGATTTTTGTCTAAAATCCTATTTTTCGTTATTTAATGGGTTTTTTTATGGGAAAATAACATAATTTACCATAACTTTTGAACCGTAATTTTTACAGAAATGGGATTTGTACCATTTTGTTCAGAATTTAAAGGGCTACAACATACTAAATTTTTATCAAAATCGTTCGGGCCATTTTTGAGAAAATCCGATTTTTCCGGTTTTTTATGGGTTTTTATGGGAAAATCCCCATTAAAAATCAAAATTTCAAAAAAATGAAAAAAACGCCTGGAGATACCATGGATTAGAACCTACATACCAAATTTCATCGAAATCGGACCACAGATGTAGTCTCTAGCTCTGTACACATCCAGACACACAGACACACAGACACACACACACACACACACACACACACACACACAGACATCACTTCGAAAACCACTTTTTTGGGTCCAGGGGGACCCAAAACGTATATATCCACTCAAAACTCAAACTTGAAAATTTTGACGAAAACAATACTTTCTCCATATACTATGATGGTATAGGGGGAGAAAGTAAAAAGAGAATCATAAGGTATTTCTGACCATTCTATACTTTTCTTTTAAACGTTTTTAAACCATTCCTATGATTTTAATAAACAAGAAAATGCCGTTAAAACATTTTTTTAAGGCACGGAATTCACTGAAAATCGAGAAAATATACGGAACTACTTTCTTAATGCGCGGAGCATAAACAAGGAGCGGAGGGATACGGACCGGTGACTACTTTCTTGGGAACCTATTTGTGTTGCCAGCTGATTAGAAACAGCCAATGTTAGAAATCAGGATTTAATAAGCGATATATCGAACCGCGTCGAAATCGATATTTAATCCGATAATACATCACAGATTATATTATGTTGAATTAAATTGACGGTGCAGTAAGTTATTACACTTATTAATAAAACGCAGATTGAACACTGATCTAATTTAGGCATGTAGGTCGGGGTTTATGAGTAGCCTATTCGTGACTACATTAAGTGTTTTGAAGTAAGGTTAGATTAGGAAGGTAAAGTGTAGGTTATAAGTAGGTGATCGGGTTGTTTATTTGTGTTGCACCATAGAATTTTTATC